AAGCCAGGCAGCGTCTGGAGGAAAGGAGAAATCAATGTTTTTGGTATTACCCTTCTTCGGAATAGGAGCGGTCAAGCTAGCTGTACTTAAGGTTAATGAATTACCAGGACCAAATGGGGTACCATCTGAACATAGTAAGGGAAGTAAAGGAAGTAAGGGTGGAAATTGTAGCAGTATTGGCATAATCTTCTAATCCTCCATCTATATAGTGGTGGTCCTAGAGAATTAAAGAACTCCAAACAAGACAATAAAAGAAATAACCCAGTAATTATAGGCAGGATAGTAACACTGTGTCGGAAAGATTTTAGAAACAGTACACCAGAACAAAATTAACATCCACTTACGCAAGTGTAAATTAATTAAGTAAAGCCTGCATAGATTAATTAAAGACAAATGGTGTTTAACTAGCATGATTTAAGTTTTTTGATGAAGTAACAGGGTTGTTAAAGTGAAAATGCATTTCCAGAAGACATTTCATCAATTGCATCCCAGCAAAGTTGAAACCTATGAAAATGAGGCAACAGTGGCAGCATGAATACAGAGTTAGCTGAATGACAGCAAACAGATTATGATGGTGAATGGGTGTTTTCAAATTGCAGGAAGGCATACAATGAAGTTTTCAAGGGGTCATAAAACCATAAAACATAAGAGCTGAAGTTGGCCATTCAGTTCTGCTCCGTCCATTGAGTGATTAAAAATCTCTGTCTTTAATATAACCAACCTCAACAGCTCTTGGTGCTAAATAATTCCATAGACAATTTACTGACCTTGGAGGAAAAAAAAATTCTCCTCGTCTGTCTTAAATTAACAATCCCTTATTCAGATTGTGCCCCAGACTCTCCAATAAGGAAAAACAATCTTCATTAAAGAATACAAACACAAATTACTGCAGATCTGTGCTGAAAACAACAAATGCTGGAGATCACAGCAAGTCAGACAGCATCCATGGAGAGAGCAAGCTAATGTTTCAAGTCTGGATGACTCCTCATCAGAGCTGAAGTGAAGTGTGGAGGGACAGCATTTATGCTATAGTTTGGAGCGGGAGCGGGGGCTGTAGAGGGTGTGGGGGGGGTAGGGTGCTGGTGGAGAAAAGATGTTGATTGTTCAGATTAAGAGATCAGAATGTGAGAATGGCAGAACAATGGTGTGTCTCCTGCCAGACTTGAAAGACAGTAGTAGTTTCAGAGATAGTAGGAACTG